GGCCTTGCGCTTGCCAGGCAGGCGCTTTGCCACTGACCTAAATCCCCAGCCCCCAAAAGTTTACAAAATATAATTCCTAAAAACAACCTCAACATTAGACAATAGAGGAAGAAGAAACATATGAGACAAAGCCTAATTTTTCACATGAGAAACTAAGAATGTTCTTAAAGCTCGAGACGTATGTTCCTTGAAAACCCTCAGAATGCGCTTTGGTCATTATTAAACACATCAGAACAGAGGCCGATAAACAAGATGCTTCCTGTTGCCTTGGTACCTCCTCACATCCTTTTCCCTTTATTTCCCAGAAAGATGTCATTCCCAGAAGCCCGCGGGTCAGCCGCCTTCTCACCCTAAACTGAATTTCTCTCTCCCTCTTTCCCTCCCTGAGGGCACACAAGGCTTTGGGAGGTCCCAGAGAACAGTGGCATTCTCCTTCCGGTGTCCTTCCCCGCTGTAGGCACCTGGGCAGCGCACCCAGGAGAAGGAGACTTTCAGGGCCTCTCCCCTGTGTCTACCGTAAGCTTTCTCTCTCAGAGTGCTGCTTTTTTTTTTTTTTTTTTTTTTAAGTAACTCTCAACTTGTCTTCAAATAGAAATAAATATGTGTGTCTGTTCTCCGAGGTCCTGACAGCCTTACGCTGGCCCGTGTCTCAGGAGCAATTGATGGCCTGTCTCACCAGGCAGCCAGGTGCATCTTTTACTAAAGGTGGTTTCGGAATGATGAATGGCTTTCTCACAAACACAAAACTGTTGATTGTGTTTGCAAACAATTCATTTCTTACATTCCGTTGATCCTGCCCCAGCACTCTCAGACGGCTCCACAGATGATGCATTGGTGGCTATTACACCATTGATTAAGGCCTCCCTGTCGTCCTGAGGTAACCGTCACTCTATTCATCACAGACAAATGGCTCGCACACAGCAGTGTATCACGCTGTCCCCATGCCTCCCAGCCTTTTACTCCTCACTTGCATTGTTTACTGTACCCTCTGAGTACAGGTGCCACAACTCCAGGCTCTCCATGCGCCACCGCAGTGGACAAATAAATGACTAATTACATTCTTTGGCTTTAGCTAACCTTGTGCCTGTAAAGGCTACCTCCTCCGCTCCTCATTCTGAAAAAATGCAAGTGTAAATATGCAGTGTCGGCAATGTCAAGTAATTGAGATTTGGGGCCAAGAGCAAGGTTGACGTAAGTACCACGGCTCTGCATCGAGTCCTCTGACTTTTAGGGTTTGAGTCAGTTAAATTTCCATTACTGTGACAAAATGCCTGAGATATCTTATAAGGAGGCAAGGTTTATTTTGGCGCGTGGTTCAATTTCAGACCGTGGTCAATTAGCCCTGTTACTTTTGGACTTATGACAAGAGAGCACTTGGAGATGAAAGTATGTGGGGGAGGAAGCTGCTCACCTCATGGCAGCAGGGAAGCACAGAGAAAGGAGAAATCTGGGGCCCGATACCTTCCATGACCTAATTTCCTCTAACTAGACCCTATCTCCTAAAGAGCTCACCACTCCCAGTGAGCTGGCAACCAAGCCTTGAACATGTGGGCTTTTGGGTGATGTTTCATACCCAAACTATATCAGAGATGAGCCAAATAACCCCAGGCTCAAATTCTTCAGTGAGTCCTGCAGAAGGGACTTTGGCCAAAGTGGCCTGGATCAGGGTTTTTCTGGTTTTTTTTCTTTTGTTGTTGTTGTTTTGTTTTGTGTTTTCTGGTACTGGGAATCGAACTCACAACCTTGCGCTTGCCAGGCAGGCGCTGTGCTGCTGAGCTAAATCCCCAGCCCCTTGTTTTTGTTTTTTGTCTTTCTGAGACAGGGTCTCACTATGCAGTTCAGGCTGGCCTTGAGCTCACTGTGTAGTCTAGGCTGGCCTCAAAC